AAAAACCAGGAAGAACAGATGGACCACTGTAATTCTATAACTGTAAGGCCACCAACCTTGCCAAAATTGCCAGATGGCCACTGTAGGATTATTTACAGAGCGCTACTGGACTCTGTATACAGCAAGCCTTTCACAACAAAAAGAAAACATGTGAAAATTAGCCCAAAGCTCCACCTGCTGGCTGAATAGGATAATACAAATGATTACTATACACAATTTACAGGGAAAAAAGAAAGAAAATATGCGCAAACCAGTGCACATTCCCTTTCAATAAAGTTGAGTAGTCCTACTTTGATGCCAAGCACCAGGGGTGGCCTAATATAGGTGGGAATAGGGGAGGGGGGCTAAGCATAAAATGTTTGTCCTTTACTGGACAGTGTTTGGAGCATTACAGACACAGAGGGATAGTGAGTTTGGATCAGATTTAAAAATATATAAAACATCTAGTCTCCATGCTTGTAGCATCCAAATACTTTGTGTAGTGTGCACTTTCTCATATGTCAGTACTTAGCACTTAGTATGGAGATATGTTGCTGAAATCATGGCATTCATCCTAAGTCTTGAATTCTATGTTTCTCCTAAATGTTCCCATGTAGACTTGTGAATGTGGAAATGGCTGGGGAAAGCAGCCCTGTGTAATGTCACCTCCGGAAAAGCAGATGGAAATTTACATTAAGAAAGTCTGGGAGGAAGAGCTGGCTCATGTGTAGGACTGCTGACTCAGAGCTCATTAGTCTTCAGCATGGTTGCTTTGTGAAGATAATAGAAGTTTAGGAGATTTCTCTCTCTTCTAGAAGATTGTCATATAAAATGTGTTTGGTTTGCAGAGCCTCTTTCCATTTTTCTTGATCAGATCTACTCAACCTCAGGTATGGCTGGAGCTTATTTGCTTTAAACCTGCCACAAACTTTTTATATTTCTTCTAGACTTAAGTAAGGAGAAATTTCCATCAGAGTTTGCCTCACCTCCACAGATGTTGCCCCTCGAAAATCCTCCATAATGTTAAAAAAAATAATTCTACAGCTGTAGATGGATGGAGGTGAGATATCAACTTCATCAAGATCTCAATCATAAAGTGACAGGAGGAACTTGAGTGACCTGCACAGAGCTCTGACCTCAACCTTACTCAGGGCCGGATTCCCCACAAGGCCAACCAAGGCCCGGCCTTGGGGCAGCAAGGGTGTGGAATTCCTATCTCCTGATGCCCGGGACATGCAGTTCCAGGCGCCAGGCGGGTAGTTGTTTTCTACATTTAGCCCTCCTTTGGGGAAGTAGGGCTACATGTGCAGCGGGGAAGCCGTCTCTTGTTTTGTACAAGTGATCTCGCTGAGATCACTTGTATGCAGCCTGCAGGTCTGCCATTCTCCATGGAGGGGGTTGTGGGGGGCGGCCAGGGAGGCGCATTGAGAAACCCTGGCCTTGGGGGAGCAGAGAGAGTAAATCCAGCCATGACCCTACTGAACACCTTTGGAATGAATTCAAATACAGATTGTGAGCCAGGTCTTCTCATCCAACATCAGTACCCAACCTCAGAAATGCTCTTTTGGCCGAATGTGCACAAATTCCTACAGCCTGCAAAAACTTGAGGAAAGCCATTTGAGAAGAGTGGAGGATCCTATACCCCCAAAGTGTGTGTGTGGGGGGAGGGGAGAGGGGCACCAGCAGCCATGGTTTTGGAATGGGGTTTCCAAAAAGGTCATATAGGTGCGATGATCAGGTGTCTGCCAACTTTTGCTCATATCGTGTATCTGTTTTGGTGGACAGGTTCTCTGACTTTTAGACTCACATCTCCTCTAGGATCTCTCAGTAAAGAGCAGGTTGAGGGTTTCAGAAAGCGCATGGACTAGAACTGCAAGATCTGGTATAGTGGGCAAAGGGAACTAGGTTTTAGATACATTAGCTGGTCACCACTATCATAAAGTGCCTCTTTGTGGATTTTCCATTTCAGTCCACAAATTATATTGTACAGTAAGTATTGTTACTGATAGGCAGGAGCTTCCAAAATGAGGCAGAATGGGAATTCCCATGAAAAGACAGAAAGGTTGCCTCTGATAATTAAAATTGGTTTAGTCCAAGATTAGTTTCATACTAAGCATAGCGATAATTACAGAAACCAAATAACATGTGCAGCATTGCCAGCTTGCTGTGCCCTACTTTAGTTGGCCATTGGGCTGCCTATCTGATAGACCTGATAGGCTGTCCAACCGAAGAAGTACACATGACAGGCTGACAACTCTACATCTTATTGTGTCAGGGGCTTAGTGCTGTAAACCTGCAACAAAAGGTGCTTTTGCTGGCAAGATCACCAGGTAAGAAAATTTGCAACAGATTCACACAAACAAAATTGCCGAACAAAACTGTAGAAAGTGAGACATGATGCCAAACATACTGAAAAAAGAGATTTGGGGTTTATTCACACTTTAAACATAAAAAGATCTATCCATGGATGTTACATGAAACGTATATAACAACTTATATGGCTTTTAAGTTATCTTTAGTGGCCCTTTACCACATTTTCACTTTGTGGAAACAAAAAGAGTGTACATAAAAATAATAGCTGATGTTTCATCCTGGCTTTGGTATGGAATTGTCTTCCCTTACACAAACAGTACCAACTTTTGAAAGGTGGCTTTGACTGCCAAATACTGATGCCTATGCAAGCACATTATAGAACCAGAAGAAAAATAATATTAGCTGGTCCAGGAAAGACGTGGCTCTCAACACCAGCCACAGCAACAAAAACTGCACAGCCAATGACGACAATGATAAAAATAGCTTTAGTTTAGCAAAGCATTTTTGTCAAGTGATATCTAAATTGTGCTAAGAAAATGTTTTCATGAGCTTTTCAATCTAACTTGGAAATCAGCTGCAATTCACACTTACATAGATAGATCAAAATCAGAATTTAATGTAAATCTGGTCTTGGCCAGTAAAGTCAACATCTGGTTTAAACACAATCAACTTTTATACATAGTTAAATACTTAAATTCAAGCATTATCTGACTATGAAACTGTAGGAGGACCATAGATACAGCTGTATCTAAAGAATGCAGCTGTGTTTATGAAGGCTGGGAGTCATTAGGAGAACAGTCTATAGACACATGGTCATGCTTACATAATAGCAACAATGTAACAAATGTAATATTCCAAAGTGGGCACATCAGATACCTTACAAATCTCTACAAAGCAAGAAAAAAGTCATGAAAACTGTTGCTAAGATGAATTCCCTACTCTACATTAGCTTTTAACACTGGGAGCTAGGCACTAGTGGTTTGTTGTGCAGAGCCCCTCAGCACAAACAGCAATGCTCTATGCTAAAGCACCCCCTCACACTAAACCTCCCTGTTACCCCTGCACTAACAATTCCTGTTACCCCTGCACTAACAATTCCTGTTACCTCTGCACTAACCATTCCTGTTACCCCTGCACTAAACCTCCCTGTTAACCCCTGCACTAAACCTCCCTGTTATCCCCTGCGCTAACAATTCCTGTTACCCCATGCACTAACCATTCCTGTTAAACCTAGCACTAACTTCAGCTGAAATCCAAGCTCTGACATTCACCCTCCCTGTAACCCATCTAACCTTAACACTAATCATCATACTAACCTGTAATTCTAACATTAACCCTCCCTATAACCCTTTAACTAAGCCTGCCTGTAACCCTTTATCTAATCTTCCCTGTAACCCTTTAACTAACCCTCCCTGTAACCCTAACACTAACCTTTCCTGTAATCCTAACAGTAACCCTAACCTTCTCTGTAACCCTAGCACTAACCCTCCCTGTAGCCCTTACCCTCCATGTAACCCTTACTGCAACCCTATCCATAACCTTCCCTGTAACCCTAGCACTAACCTTCCCTGTAGCCCTAACCCTCCATGTAACCCTTACTGCAACCCTATCCATAACCCTCCATGTAACCCTAACCATCCCTGTAACCCTAACAATAACCCTCCCTGTAACCCTAACACTAATCCTACTTATAACCCTCACACTATCCATCTCTAGTGGGAACCCATTGCTTGCATACTGGCATTCACCTGCATCATCTGCACTAAAGATTCTGGAGCCATAATCTACTACTTTGCTTAGCCTGCAAGAACCCACGTGATGTGATTGTTGTTCAATCCAGCCAGATCATGCAAGGAAATTATTTGCATTGTTTGGATATTTACTTGGGTACAATACCACACGGAGATCCATAATAAACACTACTGTTTTTTATATTTTCCAACCCAGCTTAGTAAATAGCCATGATGGAACTCTACTGACCTGAGCTACAGGTAAGTAGTTGGTACAAACTGCTTCAGGATTATCCATGGAAATTACTTCCATGGTTTGGATATTTACCTGGGTACCAGACCCCGTGGAGATCCATATTAAACACCATTGCTCCTTGTATTTTTCAACCCAACTTAGTAAACAGTCCTAACAGAACTCTAATGACCTGAGCTACAGGTAAGTAGTTAGAATACACTGCTTAAGGAACCTCCATGATAATTGTATGGGTTGGATATTGCCTTGTGTACCAGACTTCATGCAGATCCATAATGAACACTATTGCTCTTTGTATTTTTTAACCCAACTTAGTAAACAGCCCTAAAGGAACTCTAATCATCTGAGCTACAAATACGTACATGTAGTACACTGCTTAAGACACTTCCATGGTAATTATTTTTATGGTTTGGATATTTACCTGATACCCATGTAGACCTACAATGAACACTATTGCTCTTTGAATTCTTATTAAATAGCCTTTGTGGAACTCTAGTATGCTGAGCTTCAAAAAAGTAGTTGGGACATGTTGCTTCAAAAGAGTGCCTGCTAAAGTTATTGGTAATATCTGAGCAACTATATCCAGGGTTACCTGCAAACTATTCATGGTTTGGGTATTATCCTGGGTAGCAAACCCCATGCAGCTCTGTAATGAACACTATTGCTCTTTGCACTGTTTTGTTCAATAAGATTATTATAATCAAGGTAATAGAAGAATTTCTTACTGTGCAGAATAACCAATTGGCAGAGAAGAAGCTTCTGCATCATCGCCATATCTTCAGCTTGGCTACAGTTCAGGAACTTGGATCACCTGTGCGTCAGTCTGTCCGTCCTGTGCTCCTATTATTGTGAGTTTAGCGTCTAGGTGACATCACTCCTCAGTGGATACAAAGGCACAACTCAAACATCTGCATATAAACAGTCTTTAGTCTTTCTCTCTCACTAATAACTTTCAGCTCCCCACGTCTTTCTTTAGCTCTGACCTATCCTATTCCAGCTGTGCAGCCTGATCCAGCCTCTCTTTGTGGATTGCACTCATAGACCCAACTGTGCACTCAGAACCCTCCTCTCCTCCCCACCCCTCTCTCTCTCTTGCTTCTAGCATGGAATTCATTTTCTGGAAGTCTGTACAAGACCCAGCTGTAGGAGGCTGTTCCTGACAAAGGTCCAGCCCCAGAAACTTGTTTTTGATCTTTACTTTTTTATTAGTTTGTTAGCATTTAACTTTTTCCATCGAATGCTGCAGCAACCGAGGGCTCAAAGAAAATTTGCAGCCCTTCTCGGATTAAACGAGTCAGTTTTTTTTTGTAGGAATTAAAGATCAGCTATATACAAATAATAACATGGTTCAGAGACTCAACTTAAAGACAAACTGTCTAGAATCATTAATGCATCATTACATGTATTAAATGCAATGCTTGCATCAGGGCTGAGGGATGTTAAGAGGAGTACTGAGACAGGGAGTTGTGACGATTCAGGAAGCTTGCTTTGTTTAGAAAAGCACAGAGACCTAGTGATGGCATCACTGGGTCTAAAATAAGGTATGTGATGAAAAAGGAAAGTTTTTGTCTAAAAAATGTCATTAGCATGTTGGTGAAGAGTGGGATGCAGGAACTAGGGAAGTCTAAATGTAGGTGGATTAAAGCAGTGGTTCTCAATCTGTATAACCTCAGGACCCACATTTGTCCTTGGTGATTAAGTTGCGACCCAAGTTACACCCCACTGGAATGCACAGCGGTACCGCATATTCCGGTGCAAGCAATCAAACTGTTGGCGGGAGGTGTTTTTCAAATTAATGGCAACGCAATGCACCTCCCGCACCAGAATCAACAGTAGGTGTGATTGCGGGGTAGTTTGCAATTAAAACATTGACAGACACACACAACCACAGACACAACCTCCCACACTCACGGACATTCTCACACACATACACACTCCGAAAAAAATAGAGGGGTCCAGTGTGGGCTGTTGTGCTGTGACGGTGCTCCATCCATACGTGCACTCCCTGTAGAGGTGGCGGGAGCCAGAATGTGACGTCACTCAGGTCACGCGAGGGAGCTGTAAGCAATGCATGGAGCTCCTTCGCGGGTATACCCCCAGCCCTCCCCACCTCAAACTGACACTCGGCACCAGGCAACATATTTTGAATGGTTGCTCGGCACAAGAACTGACTGTCCTGCGGTCACCTAGTGCAGTGGAAGGCATGCAGCGAGCCACTGAACATGGGGTTGCGACCCACTTTTGGGTCACAACCCACATGTTGAGAACCATGGGTTTAAAGTGACACGAAACTCAGGAGTTAAACATTAAAATTGCATTCAAGTACCTTAACAAAAATGTATCTTATTTGTGTATCACTGAGGGCCGGTGCACACCTAGGCGATTTATCGTGCAGTATGAGTTGCGCAATGTCGTGCAAAACACAGATTCGCATTGAAGTCAATGGAGGCTGCTTACACCTTTGCGGTTTGTTGCGCGAGCGAAATCGCCTGTCGCGCAAAAAGGTGCAGGAGCTATTTTCGGGTGGTTGTCGCTCGGTTTGGGTTCCATAGACATCTCTATGCATTGAAAATCGTGCGACAACTGTGCGGTTTACAATGAACAGTCGCGCGATCAAAATTGTGCGACAACTGCACAAAAACAGCTCGGCATCTGAATCGCCTAGGTGTGAACCTAGACTCAGCTTTTCAAATCATCTCTGAATTGGTGCTGACACTGTCCTTCCTTCTGGAGGTGGCTACTTTTCTTCCCCCTGGTCCCTGTCTGTGTTGTAAAGTAGTCAAGGCTCCAAGCTCACTCCTGTGATGTACTACAATCTCAATACAAATGAGTAAACTAAACGTGACATTGTAGTCCATCACAGGAGTGATCTTGGAGTGGTGACTACTCTACAACACGCAGGGACCAAGGGGAACAAAAGAATCCCCCTCCAGAAGGAAGGACAGTGTCAGCACCAAATCAGAGATGATTGGAGGATCTACAGCCGAGTCATACACAAATAAGATACATTTTTGTTAATAGTTAAGGTACTTGAATGTATTTTTAAGATTTAACTCCGGAGTTTAGTGTCACTTTAAACTTCAGCTTTAAAGCTGGTGTAAGGACTTACCTTAAATGATGCCTCTTGATCCGATCATCTTCTTTCCTGTAGTTTTCAGGAGTTCCTCCAGCGCTGGTGACGGTCTGTGATCCAGCGCTGACTCCTGTCTCTTCCTGTCCCACGGAGTCTGTGCGGGTGCACGCTGCTGCATTGACTTACCTTGTGTCTCTCCTCTTCTCCCGGCCGAAACATCTGAACTGCGCATGCACCAGCCCCATGATCCTTTGCGGCCACCTGACACTCTTCAGATCTTCGGATGGGAGCGCGCAGCAGAGACACAGGTAAGTTTAAACCCCTTTGTTAACTTTTTTTTTATGTTTTTGCTTGCTAGCAGTAGATATATCCAAAAACACCGGAGGTTTTAATGATCCTTTAAGATGAGCAGTGCCAGCAATTGTAGATTGCTTCAAAATTCTAAGATCAAGCATCATAGCATTCTATCTTCCAATGGGGACACATGTTCAAGTGACAACTGTCCAAGAGGGGATTTTCCTCACATTGGAGAGATAGCCTTTCACTTCCTTTTGAGTCTACAAGACAGGAAGTGAAGGAAAATGTCCCTAGTGAGACACAGATGACACAAAAATAACATAGAAAACCTGACAGCTGTTTTAACTTCCTCCACTCTATCCAAAATGCAATGAAAAGTTTTGGCTTTAGATATTCTTTTAAGCTTGACCCAATTTGTCCTGAGAATCCCGTGCCAAATCCCTGCAGTCTCTGCACCAAAATTTTACAGCTTTACTTGCGTAGGTGGGTGATGTGTTGCACAATATCTGTATTTTTCTCCTTTTCCTATAAAAAGGTGCAGATTAAAGAACTCAAGAAAACTATTTTTCTAAAATTACAACCAGATACTCATGCAGACAACTGGTCTCCATGGATCTATCCCTGAAAGAATACAGTCTGCCAACTATTTTGCAAGAGGTGGCCCTAGACTTTTATCCTTAGGAGGGCTGTTTACTCACAGATTAATAAAAGCCAAAAAACAAAAATAGTTCTTCAAGTGGTCATAACACACACAGTTTATTTTTGTGTGCAGCAAGTACATCCATGTGTATGTGGCCCTCACGCTGAATAGTGGCTTCAACCCGGTGTGACCAGAACTTGATTCACATCTAAGGAGCCTATAGGCAGAGAATATCTAAATCTACAATGCAAATGAGTAAACTAAACATGAGATTGTAGTCCACCACAAGAACTAGCTTGGAGCGGTGACTACTTTACAACACACACAGGGACCATGGGGAACAGAAGTAGCCCCCCTCCAGAAGGAAGGACAGTGTCAGCACCAATTCAGAGATGATTGGAGGATCTACAGCTGTGTGATACACTAATAAGGTTCTGGTTTGTTAATAGTTAAGGTACTTGAATTAGTTTTTAAGATTTAAAGTACAATTAAAGGAGAACTATGGGGTTAAGTCTTTTCCAGGGTAACGGGAGGACACAAACTAGCGTCCTCCCGTCACCCTAGGCTCAGTATACTGCGAGCTACAGCTCGCGGTATACTGAGACGCCGCAGCTGAAGCAGATCCCGACAATTGTGCCGGGATCCGCCCAGCTGCGTGACTGACAGCTGGCTCTGCCTATCTAGAGGCAGAGCCAGCTGTACCCGCCCCCGTCCGTTCCGCCAGTCAGCGCTGGCGGATCGGAGTGGGGAGGGGGGAATCCAGCCCCCTCCCGGTAACTGTTCGCTCACCTCCCGATCTACTGAGCCGACCTGTGACAGTCTCATTGTCACAGGTCGGCTAGAACTATGAGGTGAGTGAAAAGCACTCACCTCATAGTTCTCCTTTAAACTCTCCTTTTTTTGCATATATCTACTGCTATACGCATATTACTGAAATTCTTATGTTTAATGTATTTTGAACTGTAGAGTGCGCTGTAGTGCAATGTTACTCTCTATGTGCATGCTTATCTATCATACACAGGAAGCTGCTTTTTCTATATATGTTTTCCTCAAAATGCTGTATTCAGATGTAATATTCTTCTAAGCAAGTAAAACGTAATTCAGCATTCCTCAAGATCTCAATGCTTCATCTAAACACATAACAAAACCAACACTATAATAAAAAAAGAAGAAATGGAGGGTTATGGACTGCGCTAGTCAAAGTCCTGATTTGATTTTCACTGAAATTTTGTAGGAGGATAATGAAATGAGTAGTTCATGCAAGGAGACCCGACAACATCTTGCAGGAATTTTGCATGGAGAAGTGGGCAGAATTTAATTTTTCAACGTCAGAGACTGGTGGGGCAGATATACAAAGCACCTGCAAGAAGTCATGTCTGTTAAAGGGGCAATAACCACTTCTGATGCCAAGGGTGTATTGACTTTTTCCACATTACCCCATTACATAGATTGATGTTTTTGTTGAATAAATGATTAAAAAGGGACATTTTTCATCAAGTAAATCACATTTATCTGTAGGCGCTGTTTGAATACAAATCTATTGTTTGCTTGGTAAAATATATTGAAAAAGCTAACAATTTTCACAGGGTGCTCCTAATTTTCACATGACTGTATGTGCATGAAGCTATTAGTTCTGTCCACTTGGTCCTGTCTCCAATCTCAGACTTTCTAACTTCTAAAATGTCCCAGGTATGATGAGAGGAAGGGGGGGTGAGTCATATGCTCTGGAAGTAGCAGATATTTTCTTCACTCCTGACAGCTAAAACAAGTGGTGGGAGGGTGAAAGAAACTGAGTTTATGTTGTGTAGGTGGCCATTAAAGGGAGCCTGTTGCTTTGCCCTATGGGAACAAAGCACATGTTTGCTCTAAGGTTTATCTCCAGATAAATATAAGAGACACAACTTAAAGAACTCTGGGAAAATAAAAAACGTACCCTTGCAGTGGGGCTACCCGGGCATTGTAAGGGTTAAGTGCTCATTTTGTCTAGGGGGCTCAAATATAGCAGATATACTCACCTGATCCTCGGTCCCAAGGAAGTCGG